ATTTTTCTTATATTTAAAATTTGAATTGTTACTGATGGATTGAGGCAAGCTTAAGTGCTCGTCGAAAAACCTTGTTTAAGATTTTCTGACATTTTATTTGGTTCGAATAATGGATTAGTTCCAGTGCTTTCAGAACCGCGGAGGTTTCACTATGCAATTAGAAGATTATACGTTCAATTTATCATTGATTGTGTAGTGCGTTATATTATCTTTTAAAGCTTCCTTGTTTAGTTTCTGATTTTAGTACCATTTTTCCTGGAAAACTATGAAGATAGAAGAATACTGTTATGTTTAGAAAATAAACAACTATAAGTGTTCCTGCTATTTATTTTTAAGTATGTTATTTTCAGTTGGGTGATGCCTCCCCCTCCCATAAAAAAAAAAGGTCATGTGGTGGGAGTTGGTATAACATTCTTACTTGATTGCAGGTGTGGCCATTGTAAAAAGCTTGCTCCAGAGTATGAGAAGCTTGGCTCAAGTTTTAAGAAAGCAAAATCCATTTTAATTGGAAAGGTAGATTCCTCATTCCTGATATCCTTGTAAGAGTGTCTGATAATTGTGTTATTACTTTACTATTGAATTTGTGTCTTAGCTGATTATTGTGATTACTAATTTTGCGGGGTTCTTTTTAAGGCGTCGTGATAAATGATTCATCTTTTAGCTTTCGACTGGCTTTTGAATTTTTGAATTTTAAAACATTAATGACAGTGCTTTGTGGCAATACGCGATACTATTATGACTACTAGTGATTGATTAATATGTTAACAGTTTTACTCCATTTGATGGTTCCCAATAGGTGGACTGTGATGAGCACAAGGGTGTTTGTGGCAAATATGGAGTTTCTGGGTATCCCACAATTCAATGGTTTCCAAAAGGATCCCTAGAACCCAAAAAGTGAGTGAGCTTCCCCCTATCTCCTGCTTAGTTTCATGAAAGCATTTAAGAAAGTTTTCATTGGGTGCTCTTTCCACGAAACCCTTTAAAAGAATTCAGACTTGGTTTAATATTGTTCATCATCCTTGTATGTCTTAGTTGGTGTACATTTTGAATTTTACATGTTTAAGGTATGAAGGTGGCCGCACTGCAGAAGCTCTTGCTGAGTTTGTGAATAAGGAAGGAGGTATTAGTTTGTCCTTGTAATGTTTTACAACTTAAGTGAACTGAATAAATCTGTTGATATTTCTTGGATGGTTTGCTACATTCTAATATACAGACATTTATGTAATAATCCTAAGCTTATGGTTGATCTTGAAGCTTTTCTTTGCAATCAGGGACCAACGTGAAGATTTCTGCAGCCCCCTCCAATGTTGTGGTCCTTACCCAGGATAATTTCAATGAGGTTGTCCTGGACGAAACAAAAGATGTGCTGGTGGAGTTCTATGCACCATGGTAAGATTATGTCTCCATTTTTTCTTTCATATACTTAATAGCGAACGCTGTTTTTCTGTGCCTAAGTCAATGAAGCTAAATTGGTGTAAAAGGCGGAAAAGGATACCAATTATCAGCCCCATGGTCCTTGTGATAAATCTTAGTGGAATTTAATTGGTATCATTGCAACTCTAAATCTGTTTTCACCCCTTTTATTTTTGTGGCAGGTGTGGACATTGCAAATCTCTTGCTCCTGTGAGTGTGATTTTGCTCCTTAAAAATCTGTTATTGTAACCCTTTATCTGGTGCATGAACAACAGTTGACTTGATTATTTATTCTATGTTATATCCAGACTTACGAGAAGGTTGCAACAGCATTTAAGTTGGAGGAAGGTGTCGTGATTGCTAATCTTGATGCTGACAAATACAAGGATTTAGCTGAAAAGTAAGTAATATTTTTATGATAGGAGAGTTAGTATCTACTGAGTTTATATATTGTTTTATATTGGTATTTTGATGTAAAAATTACATTAAAAAAGAACAATGAGATTTATAGAGGATGAATATATGGACCGACCTTATGCAAGGCTGCCTATGCAGGTACGGAGTAAGTGGATTTCCCACATTGAAATTTTTTCCAAAGAACAACAAGGAGGGTGAAGAGTATGGTGGTGGCAGAGATTTAGAAGATTTTGTAGATTTCATTAATGAGAAATCTGGCACTAGTAGAGATGGGAAAGGCCAACTTAGTTCCAAAGTCAGTAACATCGTTTCATCATGAGTTCACCTCATCAAAATCTTTTCCTTTTCTCATGGATGATTTTTTTTGTGTGTAGGCTGGTGTACTTGCAAATCTGGACGACTTAGTGAAGGAATTTGTGAAAGCTGGCAATGATGAGAAGAAGACAATCTTTTCCAAGATAGAAGAGGAAGTTGGGAAGCTTGAGGGTTCTGCTGCAAGGTTAATACAATCACTACCTAGTTTGCTCAGTTGATATTTGCACATTACTTCAACGAATATTGAAATGTTACTATTTGATGGCTTACCATATTATATTTTTCAATGGCTAGTAAGAGAAAGTCCTTTATATCCAAGTTTTTACAGTTTAGGGTTCTGATTCACATGTTAACTTATCTTTCTTTTCAAATTTCAGATATGGTAAGATCTACTTGAAAGCTGCCGAGAACTCTTTAAAGAAAGGTGCTGATTATGCAAAGAATGAGATTCAGCGGCTTGAACGCATACTCGAGAAGGTCTGGTCTCACACTCTGTGCAATATTATCCATGTTGAACTAAGATACATATCCCTTGTTTGGCAAGCAGGATAGATTTGCATGATTTGACTGAGACTTGGGTTAGACTAGACTGGATATAAAACTTTGATAGAGCAAACTAATATATCTGTAGAGTTCCAAACTCTGAATTGAAAAACCAAATAAAATTATATGCTGACTAATATAACCATGATTGAGACCACCTAAGTGATGCATGTATGGGTTACTGATCTGCGTGGGCCCTAACATATTTGTTTTTGTTTTTGTTGGTGCAGTCTGTCAACCCAACCAAGGCAGATGAGTTCACTCTGAAGAAGAACATCCTATATACCTTTGCCTCATCTTCATGAGGAGGCACTTCCTGACTTGCAGAGAGGAATCTGTAACCTAGTTTCGGGAAGTCATCTCCCAAATTCTCCTGATCTTGGGAAGGAAAAGTGTTTTCAGTGTAATATTTATGCACATCTTTTACTGAACATTTTTGTGCGTTCAAGTCCTTATTTGTAGTAGGGAGAAGGATAGCCGGCATACCATTAACAATAATGTAGTGTTTTTGGGATCGAAAATCTTATTTATCGTTAACTCAGTTTTGAGTAGCGACGCACGCATTGAGGACCCCAATAGTTTGTTTCATCTGTTAAACCATTTGTGGATCGTTCTTTGGGATTGAGCGTGCATTTTCATGAGCGGCCATTGTTTGACCCCATTTTGATAGGGCGGATCATGGGCCATTCAATTCGGTATGTTGCTACGTCCAACGGTACCAAACCTGTCTCAGGTTAAGCTTTGGGCCGAAGGTTACATGATGATCTTAAGTTCCAAATTAGCACTTACAATTTGCCATAGTACTCGCGGAGGTAGTTGAGGATTCTCTGAAAACTTTCACATGGATGAATTATGATCGCCCCACCAAAACATCAGAACCAGAAATGGTTGCGGTTGCTTTAACCCATCGCCTCGATGTGAACTGTGGGCTTTCTCGATATTCTTGCGAGGCATTATTTAGAAGTGGATGCAGACAAAGGAGGTGACGTCCCATCGAAACCTACAAAGTATTAGTAACATCAGCTTTTCCTTTGAGGCTGCTTGGCTTGTCGGAAATTTTATCTTCAGTTTGTGACTGCTTGTTTTCCGTCGCCATCTTTGTGGGGAAAAGTTAACCAGAAGAGGAACCCATCGAACCAAGATATTTATCATTCATGGCATTTTCGACTTGTAAAAAAACTTCCTTTTCAAGTGGTTTTCCCTTCTACTTTCACTAACGTTGGCAATCAGAAGAGAACGATTACCCTAAACGACTCTAAATTATGGATAAATTGAGTTAATATCAATTTTAGGGGTAAAAAACAAACATTAACATATCCCTAGGATATGATTTGTGGAGTTTAATGGTGAGATGGGACCGTTTGTGATAAGAACCAGATGTTTTGAACTGCCCAAGTTGATGCAGATAGCAATGTGACAGAACAATGTGAGAAATTTTCGAACAGATCATTTCCTGCTGTAACAGTCAAGACTTTATGCCATCTTAATTGATTGTTGGGATAGTTCAATATCTGGATAAATAAGCCCATGAACAATAATGGAGCTAGGGGACCATGATGGGATTTTTGCTGCTGCTTTCTCCAGGCTCAAAAATTACATGTCCCCAGCAGAATAATGCTTGTTGGGGCCTCAGATCTGATCTACAGTCCTCAGAAAAAAAGAAAAAAGAAAAAAAAAAGAGCTTGTGATTTCTTATATAACTTGAATTATTTTCCAATTCTGCAAGCTCTTTTAAATTGAATTATATGTTGATTGAAAATGGTAGACCTAAATTCCCGCAGATGCATCCAAAAAAAGATACAAAATGATGAAAAGAAAGATGCATGAAAAGTTCATGAGAATGGAATGTCTCATAATCCCAAACTCACTCTTTATGTCGATGCTTAGGAGGCACCATGTCCCTTGTAAATTAAGATTTCAACTTCACTTTAGCAAAGTCAATCTAAAGATCTACCAAGCTCATAGTTCATAGGTGTAAAACATATTTGGATAATAAAGGCCAAGTAATTATATGAGACAAGTAGATTCTTAGGGTCCCAAAACAAACAATTTGCAAAAAGCAAATGGGGCCACCTCATAATTTCTTCCAAACATCACAAACAACTATTCTCATGCAAAATCTGCATATGCTTTTGCTCCATGATTATGTTTAGTAATTTTGCAATTGGGATTATGTTTCTTAATGATGCAATTAAGGTTATAACTAAGAACCATATCACTCCCCCATATCATTATCCCAAGGATCTTCACATTGGGTGGCCTCTTGGAGGTTTTAAGAGAAACCTCATGAGAAAGAAGCATTAAAAACACAGAATATAATCAAATATAAATTGATTGATTCCATCATACTAGCAGTGACAGCAGAGAATAATTTACAGGGGCAAGCATCTTACACAATCTAGATGGGAATAAAAGAATTTATCCCATAATTTGCATCATACCCATCAAAATACAGACAAGGCTGCAGCTTCTCTTTTTCAGAAGAAAAGAGATGGATCCAAAGAGCTAGCCTTCAATAATTACACAGATGATCACATAACCAAAGAAGTTGCGAAAAAATCTATACATTTCCCTCTGAAACCACATCATATGACATTAATTCATCTTACCTTGAAGAAACTGGGTTCAATGCTCTAGCAAACCCATTGCTCATAGCAGCTCCATATCCCTTTGAACTAAATCCCAAGCAACCAAGCAACCCTTGCCTGTAGGGCAAGTAAGTCTTTTTCCTCATTTCCTCAGCCTGAGCCCTATTAGCAGTGTAATGCAGCTCATGGAGAGACGGCGGCATCCGTCGTTTCCCGACGCCGTTGGTGGGTTTTCCGGCCACCGGCTTCTTCCCTGAACCGCCGGACCCACTTCCCTTGGATTTTTGGGCCTCTGAGCTCAAATTCAAGGGGTTGCTAAATTTGGGATCTTTTGAAACAGAGCCCTGAGTTTGAGCACTCTGTTTCATGGGCTTCTTTTCTTTTGTAGTGGAGAATGATATCGAAGACCAAAACTTGTGGTTGCTTCTGCCTTCACTTTTACTTCTATGAAGAAAATCTTTCAGAAAAATCCATCTTTTTGAGTTCCTACCAGCTGATGATGACCTTGAAGTTGAAGCTGAAACTGAAGGTGTAGTCGTTGTGCTCTCCACTTCTTCCTCTTCTTCTTCTCCTTCATTTTTGCTCTCTTTCAAGCCACCCCCTTTCAGATCTTGAACAAAGGAGCAGCCTTTTTCATCAGTTTCAATCTCGCTTTGAGCCCACTCAAAAGGGACATTTCTTAGAGGGGACATAGATCTTGTTCTTCTACGCAGAGACTTGTCCCGGAATCTCAGATCTCTGCCTCTCACAGGCTCAAACTCAAGCTCTGCTTCATGCTCCTCGTTTTCTGACTCAAGATCCAGCAATGGAGCTAAAGCTTGAGGCTTTTCCAGGTGGGTCGAGAGCTTCATGGGTCTGATCTTCCCATTCAAGAAGAGCTCGTCAGCTGAGCTCATAGGCCCTGTTTGGCCAGAGCCACTTGAGCCAAACCTTGCAGAGAACTCAAACTCAAAACCCAGAGAAACAGAGGTGTTGTCAAACGAAGAAGAAGACCCCTGAGGCGAAGCGAAAGAGCTTGACTTTGAGGTCAAAGCAAAGTGCATTGGGCTAGCTGGAGCACTGTAGAAGAACCCACTAACGGGTCCACTGCGGCCAGGGCTTGAAGGTGCACTAACATACGGAGTGGAACAAGTGCTATCAATGTCTTCAAAGAAGATATGGGATTCATCGGTTTTGTGGGTTTCGCCATTGCTAGGGTTTGGGGGCTCGAGTTTTGGTTCAGGGTTTGAGCTTTGGCCATTGTTGGATGGAGTTTTGAGCTCCATTATTTTCTGTGCTCGTTTAGCAGAAAGAGGCTCAGAGGTCAGAAAATATAGCATGGAGAGTGGGTATTACATTTTGTCCCTCGACTTCCGTTTTATTTCGTTAATGCCATGGTCGTCTTCTCATCGTCCGTACTAGAGGTCTACTTTATTTTATTAATTTTTTTTAATTAGGGGTGAATTAACTTAACCAAATAAACTAATCAACCTCATGAATTGGTTAAACACAAATAGATGATTGTGATTAATTAGTGGTCAATCTTTTGACATCAAGACAGTTTGGAACTAGAACTGACGTGGACCATTAAACCATCTTGTTAACAACTTATTATGAACTTTGCCAAAAAAAGATATCTTTGCATTTTATTTTTTCATTTAATAAACTTTGGTACTAATTAGATGTCTACGTCACAACATCTAACAAGTTATCCATATTAAGTTCGTAGGTATAAATACCTTTTTAACCCAATACATCATCAATACTGCCCCTCAGTACAATTCTATCATACCCTTTGTTGACTTTAGGTTTGTACCATGCTCCAAACTAGCTCATCTCTTTTTTTCTTTTTCTTTTTAAAATAAAATTTGGAAAAACGACAGTGTAACGGTTAGTCCAATAGTATTTCTCTTTTAATGTTGGAAAATGTAAAATAGAATTTCCCTATTTCAACTGGCGCAAAAGATAATCCCGCTCGGCCTTGAGCACCAAGTTCCTTCCAAACTCAAAAAGAAAAGGAAAAATGACTACGTAACAGTTAGTCTAATGATATTTCTCTTTTAATGTTGGAAAATGTAAAATAGAATTTCTCTATTTCAACTGGCGCAAAAGATAATCTGACTCGGCCTTGAGCACCAAGTTCCTTCCAAACTCAAAAAGAAAAGGAAAAATGACTATGTAACAGTTAGTCTAATGGTATTTCTCTTTTAATGTTGGAAAATGTAAAATAGAATTTTCCTAGTTCAACTGGTGCAAAAGATATTCTCACTCGGCCTTGAGCACCAAGTTCCTTCCAAATTCAAGTATCTGGTATGTGTCAATTAATAAAAGAATCCCAACTCAACTTGAAGGACATGTCATTTTGTGTCAATTAATAAAAGAATCTCACTCGGGGACAGTTAAATAAAGTGTTGTTGAGGCCAGAGACCAAGAGGGCTGCACATCGCCCTCAAATATTTATTGTTTGCTTGTCATCCTCTCCCACCTCTACCATAAAGTGTTGCTCTTTCTCTCCAGTCTTAAGACAATGCATGCCTGCCATGGCCGTCCAATGTCATCGAGATCAATGCTCACTGAGACTTCTTTATTGTCCCATCGGACGGCTGCATAGCATTCAACTTCTTTTTACTATTATTATTGTTGTTCTTCATCTCCTTTTGTACATGTAGTTGAATGCATCTCTATTTTCTGATAAATGAGAATAAAGAAAACATATAAAGATTTGTACCCAAGTAAATAATATAATCTGAAAATTCTAAATGCAAGGCATGGATGGTGATTGAAGGCACAATGTCATAGCTCTCTCTCTCTCTCTCTTCATAGGATCCTAACTTTTGGGCAGCTGTCCCAAGGCTGAGGTTCTGCATCTGTGGCCTCCCTTCCAATTAATAATTAATCATTATAACAGCAATTTGTCTAATTAAACTATAGTTTAATCAGAATAAAGATAACATACTAATTAATCTTGTAATCTGTAAACCTTGTGGATGGAGGTCTCTTTTCAGATTTCTCTCTACCCAAGAAATAAGAATATTGGTTTTGAGAGAGAGAGAGAGAGAGAGAGAGAGAGAGAGAGATTAGTGGCCATACTTATTTGGTATGGGAAATATTGCTTTGGTGATGGCCCACATTAGATTACATAAGAACCCAGTGTCAAGAACAAGAAGTCATTGCTTGCCCACTGAAGTTTTAAGTTTTAACCACCAAGCTGAAAAGGGTGTGTGATTAGATTAGACTGGTTGAGATGTTACGAGAACCAATCTAAAATAGACAAGCAAATTGAGCATCAGCATGTGCATTTTGCCACACCAGCACATGATGTGTTTTTTTTGTTTATTGGGCACAAATGTGAATATTTCTTGGGTCACTGTTCATAAATATGTTTTCTTCTTCCCCCATCCACAAAGCTTCTTAGTCAATGAACATTAATTGAACCCCCATGAATTCATCATTCAAGAAAGAACCCTATGCTTTAAATAATATGGGGTTATAGTTTATATACAAATGCAATCTTCTGGCTTCTATGAATTTTCTTGTCAAAAAATCCACAGTAATGGCTTTTGTTTTTTTGTAGGCTCTGTAGTGTTATGTTAGTTAGGCGGTCCTTCAATGAAGCAAAGCTCTTTTGTTCTGATCCAAACTTGTACAGAAGCAAAAGTCGCACAAAAGGCCCACTTGGTGACACATGATTACCAAAATGGCAGCTTCCATCGAGAGTCTGTATAAGGAAAACTGTGATGTTTGGATTTTTGTGATACTTTTATGAATCACTCTCATTTGGTAAGAATTCTAAACTCAGAACTTTTCTACATGGATCTCGACTGTAAATACTGAGCTGCGAAGAAGCAAGCAGGAAAATACAACATGTTATGTAAAAAATATATTTCCTTGTATTTAACAGATTACACAAAGTCCATATTTATACTAGTACAGAATACCTACTTAAGGTAGGAAATAATATAGACATGAATACAAAGCAAGAAAGGCTAATTGATAGGAGGAGATTGTGAAGTTGACTTCCGTGTAGGCTAGGAAAGGAAAGCTGCGTTAACACCCCCCCGCAAACTGGGCGTCACAGGATGCAGAAGTTTGGAAGACATAAGCTGATGGCGTGGTTTGTGAAGAGCTTTGGTGAACAGGTCCGCAGGTTGGTCGACAGAAGGAATAAAGCAAACTTGATGACTTCCAAGAGCCACCTTTTCACGGACAAAGTGATAGTCTAACTCAATATGATATGTGCGGGCATGGAAAACTGGATTGGCAACCATGTATATGGTGTTGAGATTGTCACAAAAGAGTTGGACCGGGAATTGACGACGCATACCCAATTCATGAAGAAGAGAGCATAGCCAATTGGTTTCGGCACAAGCATGAGAGAGTGCACGATATTCGGACTCTGTACTAGAGCGCAAGACTGTGGGTTGTTTCTTGGAACACCATAAGATGAGGTTAGTTCCAAGAGTAATCACATATCCAGTGGTCGAGCGACGAGAATCGGGGCACCCAGCCCAATCTGCATCAGAGTAGGCAGAGAGGTGAGCGGCAGCAGTTTGAGGAGTGAAGGAGCAGCCTAGATCAATAATGCCCTTGATGTACCTAAGTATCCGTTTGGCGACAACAATGACGGCAAAAGATATGTCAGGGCGAGTAAGAGTGAGATACTGTAAACTGCCAACAAGCTCGCGATACTCTGTTGGGTTGGAGATGAGAGCACCATCAGAGACAGAGAGGAGAACCTTGGCAGCCAATGGAGTAGATGCGGGTTTGAAGTTGAGAAGATTGGCTTTCTGTAAAAGATCATGTGCATATTTGAGTTGATTGATATGAAGAGTACCATCTTTATGAAGAACATGTAAACCCAAGAAATAGCTGAGTGGACCAAGGTCTTTGATGTCAAAGTGATCACCCAAAAGAGAGATGAATTGCTGGAGGTGAGTGGAATCACTGCCAGTGACCACGATGTCGTCGACATATAGAATGAGAAATATGGTATGAGACTCATGTTGAAAAATAAATAATGAAGTGTCAACTTGGCTCCATGTAAAGCCCACCGAGAGAAGGAAAGTACTGATGCGATGGAACCAAGCATGAGGTGCTTGTTTTAGGCCATAGAGTGCTTTGTGAAGCTTGCAAACATAAGAAGGACGAGTGGGATCAATAAAACCAGGGGGTTGAGCCATGTAGACATCTTCTTGAAGAAACCCATGAAGAAATACATTTTTGATGTCAAGTTGACGAAGGGACCAACCACAAGAAACTGCAAGGCAGAGAACAATGCAAATGGTGGCAAGCTTGACAACAGGACTGAAGGTTTCAGCATAGTCTATGCCCGGACATTGATGAAAACCCTTGGCAACTAGACGAGCTTTGTAGCGTTCAATGGAGTCATCAGAGTGACGCTTGATCCGAAAAACCCACTTGCAACTAACCAAGTTCTGAGACGGAAATGAGGGAACCAAAGTCCATGTATGATTATTGAGGAGTGCATTGATCTCTTCAATCATAGCGTCACGCCATTCAGTATGCTTAGTGGCCTGTGAAAAACAAGTAGGTTCAGTATGCTCAACAACAGTTAATAAGGCATGGGGAATGGGATATTTGACAGTGCCATCAGTATGAAGCTTGGGCTTGTGAATGCCATCATGAAGGCTGGTGCGCATGCGGGGAACAGGGACAAAAGATTATGGAGCTGCTGAAACTTGGGGGTTCGAAGCTGCTGTAACCATGGGGCTCTGAACTGCCGGAACTGTTGGGTTCGGAGCTACTGGAACTAAGAAGGTCGGACCTGCTGGAACTTGAGGGTTCGGAGCTGCTGGAACCATGGGGCTCGGAGCTGCCGGAATTGTTGGGTTCGAAGCTGCTAGAACCAGAGAGGTCGAAGCTGCTGGAACCTGGGAGTTCAGAGCTGCTGGAACCAAGGCAGGCACAAACAGAGATAGCTGGATGAGAGGGTGTCTGGAATAAGTTTGGAGCAAGGGCTGGGACAAAGTCGAAGAAGTGACAGTGAGTGGACCTGGGGTTGCGGCAGTGTCATAGATTGAGACAGCAATAGCTAGAAAGGTGAGCACCAGGGAGGTGCCGTGAGGTTGTGATTTTGAGGCTGAGTCTACGGCAGGAGTAATTGATATGGGCACAGGTGTGGAGGAGGGAAGAATTGGGTGGAATTCAATATCCACATACTCAGAAAAAGATGATACCTGCAAATGCTCAAATGGAAAATGCATTTCGTTAAATAAAACATGACGGAACGTGTAAACACGACCCGTAGAGGGATGTAAACAATGGTAACCTTTGTGGTGAAAGCTGTATCCAAGGAAAACACATTCAAGGGTGCGGTTGGTGAGTTTACTTTCAGTATAGGGTCCAAGGTAAGGGAAACAAGAACACCTAAACACTCGGATATGAGAGTATGAGGAAGGATGTTTGAAAAGACGATTGTATGGAGTGTCTCATTGAAGATTAGGAGTGGGTAGGAGGTTGATGAGATAGACAGCAGTGAGGGCGGCTTCAACCCAGAGATTGTAGGGAGTGTGAGAAGTGGTAAGGAGGGTACGGATCATGGTGGCAATATGTCTGTGTTTACGTTCAGCTATGCCATTTTGTTGGGGAGTGCGGGGACATGAGAAACGTTGGTGGATGCCTAGTTGACTGCAAAGATCATAGAAAGCATTATTAACATATTCAATGCCATTATCACTTTGAAGGATTTGTACAGTAGTGTGAAATTGATTTTTAACCATGGCAAGAAAGGTTTAAAAGTGAGAAAAGACCTCATTTTTACGGTGCATAGGATAGATCTAGGAGTAACGAGAAAAATCATCTGTAAACAAGACATAATAGCGATAACCAGTGATAGATATGACAGGGGACATCCATACATCAGAGTGAATTAAATAAAAGGGAGATGGGGCAAAGGTTGTATTGCTAAGAAATGACAGTTTGGTGGATTTGCTAAATGCACAATCCTTACAGAAAGCATTTGAAAATTTAAAGCCTAAAAATGGTGCTAGATGAGATAGCACAGGATGGGATGGATGACCAAGGAGACGATGCCAAGCAGGAGAGTACACGGCGGTAAGGGCACGAGGGACGGTGGATGAGTGAGAGGAGAGGGAAAGTGGGTTAAGACCATCTTTAGAGGGGCCCTGAAAGAGTAACAAACCAGTGCGTAAGTCATAGATTTGATAAAAGTCAAGAGTAAAGACAAAGAAAACTAAATTATCGAGAGTAAAACGGGCAACAGAAAGAAGATTAGTACGAAGAGATGGAAGACAAAAGACATTTTGAAGAGAAAATTGGTGAGAACCTAAAGGAAAAGGAAGAGAGCCAGTATGAGATATAGAGAGAGAATCTCCATTACCAAGAAATACAGAATTATTACCCTGATATGGCTGTTGATTTTGGAGATTAGAAGAACTACCAGTCATGTGATGAGTGGCTCCTGTGTCAGGGTACCAGGTAGAGTCAGGTGGCTGCATAAATTGAGCCCCAGCAAAGGATGGAAAAGATTCTGGGCCATTGTAGCGATGGGGACATGTTGAAGTAGTATGTTGATTGGTATTGCAGGTGGTGCACCAAACGGGTCCCAAGACACCAGGAGATGAGTTGGGTCGAACAGACTGTTGGCTAGAAGTGGCAGATTGGGCCCAAGGAGGCTGAAAGAAAGGCCAGTGACTTTGAGGTCCAGAACGTGGAGAAGAATGAGGCCACGGTTGAGTAGGCTATTGGGGCTGCTGGAAGCCATTCCACGGGTTGCTCCAGGAAGATGAGAAGTTGCGCTAGCCACCACGGCCACGACCGCGCCAGCCACCACGGTCACCGCGCCTGTTGCTGGAAGAGCCACCACCACGGTTAGAAGGGAAGGAAATATGACCGGTGGTGTGAGGAGAGGATTTGGTGGCCATGAGCGCTGTGTTTTGAGCAGAAGAGATGCGAGGAGCCTGTGCGTCGAAAGCTAACAAACGAGCACGAAGATCAGCAAAGTCAGGAAGCAGAGGAAAATTGAGAATTGCAGTGACGAGCATTTTGTAATCGGGTCCTAAACCCCGAAGCACAGCAGTGACAAGTTCTTTTGGAGAGACAGGTTCATTGATGGCAGCCAGTGAATCGGCAAGGGACTTAGCATGACGAAGGTAAGCATCAATGGGTTGAGAGCCTTTTTGCAAATCCCTGAGTTGAAAACGAAGAGCAGATTCACTGGCCATACTGGATTAAGAGAAGTGGCGTTGGAGACACTCCCAGAGATCCCGGGTAGAGGTGCAACTGACAATAAGAAAGAGAATGGGCTCAGAGAGTGTACTGGTGATGTAGCTAACAATGAGTTGGTCTTGTTGGTACCACTGAGCATGGGCGGGATTGGGTTGGGTAAGAGTGGTGGTGGTGGTTTCGGTGGTAGAGGTAGATGTGTGGGCAGAAGGTTGTTTATGAGTGTCATCGATAAATTTCCAGAGGTCATGACCGACTAAAAAGGGTTTGAGTTGGCGAAGCCAAAGAAGATAGTTAGAGTCTGTAAGCTTGATAAAATGAAGAGTTGGGGCTTGGGAGGGAGATGATAGATTCAGACGAAGCCATGAGGTAGACCTAAAGGAGAAGAGGATCGAATAAGGGAGAGGGAAGAGGATCGAATAAGGGAGAGGGAGAAAACCCTAGGTTAGGCTAATACCATGTAAAAAATATATTTCCTTGTATTTAACAGATTACACAAAGTCCCTATTTATACTAGTACAAAATACCTACTTAAAGTAGGAAATAATATAGACACGAATACAATCCTATTTACAGCAGGAAAGGCTAATTGCTAGGAGGAGATTGTGAAGTTGACTTTCGTGTAGGCTAAGAAAGGAAAGCTACGTTAACATGTTAATATGGTCATGGTTGCCATCTCTCATTTGGTACTTGGTTTGTTAATATTAGGACATAATTTCTCTTTTTTTTATGTGAGCGATATTGAGGTTGAAGATATTCAATCACAAGACCTCGGATGCAAAGATAATGCTTTTAACTACTTGAAGTATAAGCCTCTTACATATAATCTCTCCTTTTTATATGAATATAAACAATAACTAGCAAAAATAATCTTAATAGTTCATTTATATTCAACTTCCAAATGAAGGAAATAGAATGTCAAAGAGGGATAGAATATAAATTTAGTTTAATATGTGGGGCTACATACACTTTAAAGTTGAGCTTAGTTTAATATGATGGTATGAATGAAGAGGTGCTCAGCACTTGGAAGTGGTGAAGTAGAGAGATAAAGTCTTCAAGATGATGAAGGTTTTGTGTGTGTGTGTGTGTGGAACAATGCACTCATTATACAGAGAACCTTGTCCCCCTCAAGGGAGGGAAGAAATGCTCGTGAAGAGCAGAACGGTTCGTTTTCAATGGTTGAAACTTGAAACTCCTTCTACTGGTTTACTTACATAGCTCTGCTTCTTCTGTTTGTGGTTACGTAAGAAATGGAAGAATTTTATTCATTTTGCCCCATTTGTTCCCCACTACTCTAGGTCTTGGACTGCTTTTACATCACAATAATTTAAGCCCTCATTTGGTCTATAAGTCAAAATTGTTTTAGAAGGCTAGACTCTTAGGTATGGTTGAATATATCAGTTGGGGAATTTATAGTAACTATAATTTCAACTTTTAGCAGCACTGGGCCGGCTAGATGTCAGACTGGTTCCATTAATCACGTGGTTCATCAATTGGACAAAGGCACTGACAAGGAGAAAAGCTTAGTTGCGTTTGCTATTCTCAGTCAGTATTATTATGACACGTGATGTGTTATCACGCGTGTCATAAAGTTATTTACCGAAGATAGCAAAATAATATTATCCAATCTTTCTCCCTAACAAGGCCTTAATCAAATTTCACACAAGGCCAAAAATCTTGTTTCTCTAGAGACTTGATTGGTATCTGAGCGGTTGAGCTTAAAATCTTTCGTGCAATAACTTTACACAGCTTTCTTCCTGGAAAACACATTGAGCTTTTATTGCAGTTAAATCGTACATATTGCAGTTTGCAGTGGCCTGAATTACTGTAGTAACACACTATCAAACTAGAAGTGAAAAATTGTCTTACTGGCAGTAAATTCTATGTTGAGAAAATTCTCAGCTAGATGAAAATGTTGAAGGTAAATTAGATAAGGAAAAGCATACAAGTTTCACCAGATAAAGAACTCAACTGGATAAAATACATTGCAGTGGGTTATAAATACAAGGGCCAACTTAAGAGGGACTAAAAGTGCTAAAAATCAGACACCAACTCATCAACCAAAGAATTTAGTATCTCCATCTCAATCTCTAGACCCTCCTCAAATGTTTCAATGTCGAAGTCAAGCCATCTCCCACGCTGGGTGCTCATGTCCTTGTCCACAAGCTCATCCACATTCAATTCTGCCATACTTTTCCAACCCAGAATATCTTTGTACAATTCCTCAGCTAACCATCCATTTCTCTGAGACAATGCTGCCCATTTATCCCATGCTTTGTGGCTTCCGACAAAAAATTGCTTGCATCTGAACTGCAGGCTTTCATTTACACAGTCAAATACAATCTTCCGCTGGAGCTTCGGATACTCTTCTTGATCCCCCAAATGATAAAAAAGACTTGGGGTAATGACAGTCTGAGCATCACCCAGCGCAAAATCTTCCATCTCTAAATCTACATTGCTAAGGATGTATCTCACATATTCCAGTTCCCAATTGTTTGTTCGATTAAGATAATGGGAACCCAAAATTCTAGTCATATTCTTTCCACTCACATCCCCTGTGGAAGCAGAAGAGGCTGAGTCAAACAACTCTGAAACACTATATGCTGGTAGGGTTTCATATGAAGAGAATAAATCCATTTGATCTTGAGCTTGAGCCAATGAACATCTCTCACTGTCACTGCCTGTAAATGGAGAGTAGAGTATACATGTTCAGTCATTTTTCTTTCACAAGAGCACGTATGTGTTTCATTATAACATAATGCCTGACTCATAAAAGAGGTTTCTTTTTTCTCTTTTCGGTACAAAGGATGTCAAAGGAGGAGGGGGTGGTTTGACTCATACAAGAGGTTGCACTACGCTTTTCTTATCTGATAACATTATAGGCTGTTCGCTGATTTACAAAATCTCAACTAGCATAGACATCCCCAATCTGGTGTAAAGTTTATGTTCTTGCAAAATATTTTGGGACTGACATTGTTATGAACGTATGTACTGGAAAAGGAATAAACAGGAAAGAAGACGGTTATTGTACCATTGGCACTATTTCTGTTATCTGTGCAGCTTTGACTCTCAAACGAGGGGGCTGAAAGTGGACTAAGATTCTGATAATCAAATTCTTTTCCATTTGCACTGGTTATGCTGCTACTGCTACACTCTTCCATCCCTTCTGATCCCTGAAATTGTTTAAGAGAATTTGACAAGCATGCTGATTAAATAGCTTCATGATGTAACTCAGAATCAGAAAAACAGGTTTCTTTTCCTGAAAGGCATATACAAAATTGATAATAATAATGGAACCAAAGTGAAATATTGCATCGAAAATTTCAAATATTAATAAAATGTGAATCTTGTCCAAAAAATGGATCAAATACAGACTACTGCTGATTGCTTAACTTCTCTACATTGTGTCTAAAATCCTCACTCTGCTGTATTGGCATTTGAATTTTTACAGAACCTTGACTTGTTAAGCACAGTTTTAAGAACGGACATATGGTTTTAGTTGTCTATAAAGTCTGGTTTCTACAACTTTACCCAGTCAGAAAGTTTCATATCTGGTTTAACTAATTACATTACCTGTAGGGCCTATCCACAACACAAATATTCATTCATCTGCTGATGAATTTGTTAGCAGAAACAGTTTTAGTATGAATGTGCATTTGGTCCTTGTTTCATTTTGTTAGTACAACTAGTCAAGGTATTATATTTTGTGTCTGGTTGAGGAAAACCATCAAACACCTTAAGTGCCTATAAACTCGATCCTGAAAAACCAAGGGTGAAAAACCACTAGTCAAGAAAATTAAGGGTAAAACAAACCTTCCACTGCTGGTTCACATCAACCGACAACAAGCAACCATAGTGGTTTATGCTGTCAAATTCATCTCTGTGCAAACTGAGTTCGAACTTCTTGCCTCTTGATGCAGTACTAGCCACACCAGAAGCCATATCTTGCAAGCCAGATGAAGAACTAGCAGCTGCAGAACTCTCTTCACTGGTTGGGTTACGCTGAGACGACTCGACTTTACATGACAACTCTTGAAGCTTTTGTTCCAAAAGGACACTCAGGGCATCACCACCAATCACGTTGAACCCAGGTGAAGATAATGTGAAATTCTCTGGGTAGCGCTGCTGATCGTTGTTACCAAAAGAATCAATATAAAAGCTGTTGTTTCTACTCATGACTTGACCAGAGGACTGCAATTCAGAGATGGACCTTTTCAGGGGAGACGTGAACGTAAACGAAACAACATCCATGGCTTGTTTCCTATTATCTGCGCCCAAACTGGTGCACCCATCCATTGAAACATTACATTTTACTGACCTTTCATCTTCACTGATAAATGCATTATCAGAAACGGCTTCTTCTAAGTGAACATCCTGGCCAACAGACCTTAACTTTCCAGAGACTTTCTTCATTGTGGATAAAGAAAACTCCTTTCCAGTAGCATTTCCCATTGAGCCCACCTTTCCAGATCCAGTTTCAGAGTTTACAAGAACCTTACTTACAGTCTTACCTGGCCTACTAGAGCCATTAGTTGACCGCATTCTTCTAGTAGGTGGATTAGGAACCATATTTTTTGAAGTCGTTTTATCTTTATTAGATACACAATTCTGCTTCTGGTTGTTCTGCTTGAGCACGCTTTTGGTGCTGTCAGGGGAAGTTTTCTTATGCACAGCTCTTTGTGGACTTGGCCTGCTCTTAGAAAATTGATTTTGTTTCATCTCATTCTGTTCCTTCTGATTCATGAAACTACTCGACCCATCCTTTCTTTGAACATTGACCTTCGCTTGTACCGCAAGTGATACTGATTTTCCCTTATTCCTTCCATCCCTGTAACTTTGTCTTTCTGAGTTCACAGAAGCCTTGGGTAAGTGTACATTATCTGACCCATTTTGAATCCTATCACCAGGTAGTCCTTTCATATACTTAACGTCACCAGCTTCCTTGGGTCTTTCAGGTCTGGATTCTTTTTGCACAGCTTCCATCTTCTCTTTCAAATCCCTAATTCTCAACGGAATTGAAGAAGGCCCTACAGATGACCCTTTGCTCTTGGAAGATGCTCGAGGACTTGCCTCAATGATCTTTGAGGCTGCCTCCATTATATAAGCTGCATTTTTTGTTGGGATGAAGCCAGGACTCTTGATAGGTGACAAAAGCTTGTGGTGAGTAACTGGAATTGACTTAGCTGATTTTGGAGGCAAAACTTCAGTTTGAAATCTCTCAATTGGTTGGTTCTGCACTCCCTGTGCTCTAGATTCTACAGGATTCCAAGAAAATCTATCCAGCTTCTTTGGCACATTTATGTACTCCATGGCATAAAAATCGCTCCACAAATTACGATTGCTCCTGTCATGATCAGGGACAGTTGAAGTTGGCAACGAATCCAGACCCATTAATCTAGCAACTACACCAGGGGCTCTATTCCGACATCCCTCATCACTAGTCACTGATGAAGCATAGTGCCAATCACTACTTGCTTTATTACTTGAAGTTGTTCCTCTCTCCTCGCCCTCTACCTGCAAATATATATAAAACCAGATTCTTGATACTTATATCACATGACAAACAAACAAGAGAAAGATCAAAATGAGAGGGTAGAGGATTCATACCCTATAGAGCCCCGACTTCGAGAAACTCTCCACATTTTCTTTTCCTTGCTTTAATCCTTTACATTCAACATGGCGTGAAAGTAAACTAAATGCTCAACTAAGAAGCACATACAGATAAATATGCAAGATATATACCCAAAAAAGAAAGAAAGATAGAAGATGATATCTACCAGATGACTCGGAATTGCTCGAGAAAAGCTTCTTCCGAGATTTGCCATTCCAATCAAACAAGTTTAGAAATCCTCCTTTTGAACGTTTTTTCTCAACCTCCATTTTAGTCTTCTGCAAACCTATAGGAGTTGGAGATTACGATTAAAAAGATCATTAAACAGAACCCATGTGCCAATTTGTACTAGAATTTGTCATGCTTGAACCATCCATAAAGGAATTCAAATATTAGCAATCAGACTAGACATTACCTACATTGTTCATTGACAACTTTAAAAAAAAGAAGCTAAAGCTTTAGCCAGAGGAGAGAGCATTCTCCAGTTTTTCAGAAAGAAGTAGACAAGCAGGACAAATTAAAATTTCCTTAGAATGTACCACATTTTTCAAGGCAACAAGAAAACAGATCGGATTATACCACTAATTCTACATATGAAAAAAACAGCAACCACAGTTGTGCGTGCAAGTGTGTCTAATCCAAATGGCACCCTTTAGAATGAACAGCAAGCACAAATCTCTAATCATTTCAATCAAAATCTCACCTTAAATCCTTCAACTGCAAAACCCCATTTTCCACACTCCGAAAAACTCACTCCTTTTCTTCTTTTGCTTTTGTAGACAGCAATTCAGTCAAAACCCACGCTTCCAAACTCAGTAACCAAGAATCAAGTAACTTCATCCAAATGAGTAACCTTCAATCAATCTAACCACATTCTCCTTACCCAAGCACCCACATTTCGAAAAGCCAACTCTTTCTTTCTATTTTTGGTTTATTGTGCTGAATAACAAACACAATCGGGAGTGGAGGAAAAGATTAAAGATCTGAAAGTGTAGAGCAACAAAATCCTTTGGGTAAAACTACAGCAAAAAAAGAAAAAAGCTTTAAGCGAAATCAGAAGGAAACTGCACACACTGAGTGAGAGAGAGAGAGAGAGAGAGAGAGAGAGAGAGAGAGAGTCAAGGGGGGTATGGTAAAGACTAAAGACTGAAGAATGCAAGAGAGAGAGAGAGAGAGAGAGAGAGAGAGAGAGAGTTGAAAGAAGAAGAAGAAACGTTAATTGTGAGCAAAGAATCGCAAGGCGGAAGAAACACACCGCCCCGAGAGCTGAGTGGCTGATGAGTTCTTGTGAAAATTCTTACTCTTTTCATTTATATTTATTTAATGGACCACCACGAGTCGTGCTACCCTTTTTTGTGTGTAAATCATGTACCCCTGCCACGTGGCTTTAAAACTGTGGGCCCCGCTCGAAATTAGTCATCAGTTTCGGTCCTTTTCGGGAATTGCCGATAGTTCAAAATCAAATGGACTGCTTTTTTTTCCTCCCCATTTTTATTTCCAATTTTTTCATAGAAATGTGTTTGTGTTGTTGTTACATTTTTTTTAATTTTAATGTCTCATGTTTTTTACCACTTCAATTTAAATTCAGAAAGAAAAAAAAAGCTAATTTGTCTTCAATAAGAAAAATAAAATTCACAGTCTAAGCACTCAAGAATGTATATAATTGGTCTAAAATTTTGACACTAAATAGTAGCTACAAGCTAGAGACCAATGGATCAATCAAGTGGTCCACTGCTCATCAATAAAATTCAAGTGGTCGACTGTCCACTTAGGAAAAAAATAACAAAGATGGGTTTTGTTTGTAGCTCTCTCTCTCTATCTCCTTCATCATGCTACTGTTTATTTTTGGATGGTGGCCCCACATTTCACAACTAGGCAATGTCGCCAACTTCATAGCTTGTTTTGCTTCTTGTTAAGATTCCATGCAAAAGCTCCACTTTCCTTTTCCCCTCTTGTAAATAAAATTCTTCAGTCCTTTTCCAGATTTTGTGGTGTCACTGTCAATAGACACACATATATAAGGAGATTCTTCAAAAATATTTAAGTTAAGGATTAGTTACATACTTCTAATTTCGGCAGTTAGATTGTATCTAACAGACTATCAACACATTTAATAAATTCAATCAAACGACCAAAATTAAAAATCTGTAACTAATTCTTAATATGAAATACTTATTAAAGAATCTCCATATACGGACATATTATTGATATCTATTTGTTTGCTAGGAGGATCAAGTGATTAAGAGAGCTTGGACTTTAGAGCTAAGCCCCACATGAATCACAGACAGAAACAGTCCCACAAGAAATACATTATTTATGGTGGTTAACATGTCATGCTCAAGTATAATCTAGATGGTTTACTAATGCAGAACGTAAGTATTATGTTAATCATATGATTGCATGTGCCATTTGTCAAATAATTCTTTATGGTTTTGTAGATCTTAGTTGTTAGATCTTAGATTTAATCAAAATTATGATGCATTTTCTGTTTGACCACAAAACCTGTCGATGTGACGGGGCAACTGGTTGGCAGTGTAATAATTGAACTTTCCCAAGGTCGATATGAAGAGGCTCAACTGATACACATATACATTGCAAAAAGTGACTCATTTACCTTCCTCACATCAAAATTGGGCAAGCAATTCAAGCCTGTAAACCAAGAACTAAATAAACTCCTTACTTGCACCAGAAGCAGGACAAATAAACATGTATATCCTCAGGGTCAGGAGGAAGTCTTGAGGTAGCTATCTTTTCTTCTTTCCTTGCTCAGAAGCTTTGAGACAGTTATCACAAGGATTCGATCCGCACTTGCAGGCATTTTCATCAAAGGACTCTCCAAAGTGTTTGAGTAACATTTGCCTCCTACACTGAGTCTGAAGAATAACAAAGCAAAGAAACCAACGATATTTCTCATCAGTACACATGGTTCTATAAAAAGGCTAGATTTGCTTCTTTCGTCAATGTGAGAATAACCAGTTGATGATGGTTTGGAGTTGCTAACCTTTAGTTCACAGTACTCTTGCATTTTCTGTGCTTGAGCCATAGCTGTCTTGAAACTTTGACTTTTACATCCTTGACCATTTCGTAACAAACATACAACCCGACTGAAATCCTTCTTCTGGTATAGGACGATGCATACTGCAGGAAGATCATCTCTGCCAGCCCTTCCAGATTCTTGATAATAGCTTTCTATTGATTTGGATATAGTATTGTGGATGACGAAACGCTAGACATTGGAAAAAAGGAATAAGAGGGTCATTTAAGATAAAATATTTTAAAAATCAAAAATAGACTATTAATCACTGAGATAACATTTTCTTTCATGAAGTGCAGGATTGCAAATGACAACAGCAGTACTTTTAAAATTTACATAAAAGAGACAGAAAGAAAATGAAAAGTTTATTTGGACTTACAACATCCGGCTTGTCTATTCCCATCCCAAAAGCAATTGTAGCACATACAATCTGAACCCCTCCAGTGTACCATTTCTTTTGGACAGCAACTCTTTGGCGAGCTGCTATCCCAGCATGGTAATACGCTGTCTTAATCTTAAATTTCTCGTTCAAAAAATTAGAAACCTCAACACATTCACTTTTTGAAAGGCAGTATATAATCCCGCTCTGGTCCTGGAAACGACTCATCAATAGCTGCCCAAGCTGCTTCAGTGATTCCTTAGTCTTGCCGATGACTTCATATTTCAAGTTGGGTCTGTCAAAGCTTCTTTCAAGGACAAGAGCACGAGGGATTCTCAAGGCTTTTAATATGTCCTGCCACACATCCATAGAAACATTTTTACTTCCTACAAGAGGCAGAAAAATCCATTCTGGTATATCATCCTACCTCACGAACTGAATGGGTTGCTGTGGCAGTCAATGCCATCACTGGAACATCGCGGAATATCTGCTTAAGACATCCTAATCCCCTGTAATCTGGACGGAAATCATGTCCCCATTGGCTGGGAAGCAGGATTCAAGATTAAAAGAAATGATGACTGGAATAATCTTATTAGATAGCTTAGTAAGAGTAGCACAACTTGTTATACATTGCTATGACCAATGTAACAAAATATTCATATGATGAAGTAACCTTAACACCAGATGCTATGTAACATGATCAAACCACTTTTCCTCCTTTAAGAACTAATTTTCAGTTTCTGCAGATAATTGTCACCTAACAAAGAACATACCTTACACAGTGCGCTTCATCCACAACAAATCCTGCTAGCTGTCCCTGTGATTTAGTCCAAAACATTAATTACGTTTGGAACATAAAATCTTGTAACAGCTGATGCAAGTAAAGATGGTACCAATGAACTGGTCAGTAACCTTAAGAACCTCACCTTTGAATGCAGGCATTTCAGAACCTCAAGAAAAGAAGGGTTTCCAGCAATTCTCTCAGGAGTCACATACAGAAGCTTGCATGATGGTTTATCTTTCCTGGAAACAAGAGAATAAAACATTATTAATAACATATCAACCACCCCATTTCTTTTAGTTGTCATTCCCTCTCACATCTCGCCTCCTAAAATTACATATATATATATATATATATATATATGTAACTTATTAATCTTATGATGCATAAAAAATATTTTCTTAAACAAAGCAGCATCAAAAGCATATACTTTTATAAATAAAAAACAGTTACACATGCAAATCAGGGAATTTTCAGACATAAAAAGGTAAGGAGAAAATTTATGCTAGAAAAAGACAGGCAAATTGCCTTAGTCCAAAAGAAAAGAAAAGAAAAGAAAGAACCTTGCCTTAGCTCTTGAAGGACCGCTGCTGCTTGGGAAGTGGTTTGTTGAGAATTCAAAAAAGTTGCTGGTACACCAAACTTGAGGTTCAGCGTTATAATCTGATCCTGAATAAGGGAAAGCAGTGGAGATACAACAACTGTCACACCCTGTTTCAGGGTTGCTGGAAGCTGTGCAAAACACAGAATAATATACATCCCGTCAGTGGCTTGGAAGAAATCACTCCAGTATTTAACTACTCAAACAACTATTGGTCTGTTTTGAGCTAGTTATCAAAATTTGAAATTTGAAATTTTCTACAAAAATAATATGTAATTACTTCATGGATCATAACAATTTTCAATATTACAAATAGATCAACAAAGCAAAACGACGCAGCTGTAGCCATATTATATATGAGAAACTACCTGGTAACATAAGCTTTTACCCCCTCCAGTAGGCATTAGGATAAAGCAATCTCGCTTTTCCATAGCAGCTTTACAAGCCTGATGCTGCAAGGGTCGAAATATCTTATTACCAAATATTACAACATTGGCCAGCTCAGCATCATCCAGAGCCTGTAACTCTTCATAAGTAAGAGTCTTTGATTCATATTTTGATGTACGGGTGCACTGCTTTTTACTAGAAATTGATGGAACTGAATCTCGAGTAATGCTGCTTTCACAATCCTTCAACACAAACAAACAACTTCAGTATTTTGAAAATTGTAGTTACCAAAGAAAACTGCCATGAAATTCAAAGAAAGTTGCAGCCGGTTGCGCAACTGGTTATGAATTCCACAAAGCAGTAAAGGCAAAGCTGTGAAAAACTAGTTCTGCTTACCACTGATCTTGAAGAACGTTTACCCGAATTCTGGGGTGGGACAGAACTGCTCCAAACAGGAAATGAAGAGGGCTTTGATCCAGCGTCTTTTGTCATTGGAGTTGTTAAATCTAATTCTTCACTATCACTAGAATCCAACAGCAAGAAATTTGGGTACTTTTGACGTTCCGGTGAATCTTCTACCACGTTGATTTTGCCTCTATCATCATCTGGTTCGTTACCGTTGAGGATGTCTTTGTCAAACATGTTATTCAAAACTCCACAAGCTTCAGTTTCCATTGCTTGTATATCATCCCATTCTTCAGTGTCCTGCATAGATTCAGCTAATGCTGCAAGAAAATCATCACCGCAGTGCTCCACGGTAATAAAATCTAGGCCATCGTCACCTGAACAGAAGATCAGAGAAGAAGATGACCCTATCATTACTTACTTGGGTGCTAAAACTAATCATAGTTAACTTATGCCTGCACAAATTCGAGACCAACGGTAGAAATACTAGGAAACTAAGCAAAATGTTTGTTGAAACTTTACCACAACACTTCACACATATTAACCTCAAGTCTAACTACATTTCTATCAAATCACACACAACTCAACTTCTCAAACATATTGGAATTAAAAATAGCACAAAACCCAACAAACCCATTTCATATCAGCTAAAATTAGACAAAAACAAAACCCACCAAATTAT